TCCATCCATCCATCCATCCTGGATCCATCCATCCATCCATCTATCCATCCATCCATCTATCCATCCATCCATCCCCTCATCTAGTCATCCATGCATCGTTTACCTTTTGTAGCTTCACTTATGCTGAATTATTCGCCTTCGTGCCTTAAATTTCTTTTGTTTCCCCCCCCCCGTCCTCCTCGGGTAGTATTACTAAGGCAGATGTGCTACATGTGGAGTATGCAGTATCCGGATATTTATGTGTGAAATTACATACCTTTCTTTCCCAAAATGATATCTGTGATCTATTAAATTGTCTACTTTTTTATGCAAAATCGTATGTGCACCCTTATGCCGTGGTGGAAATATAATCCAAGCCCCATTGGCTACTCAACTTCTAGTGCGTCATCCTGCTTTCCTACAAAGCACCAGTAAAATCACGCCAAGTTCGGCTAATTGCCGCAGAATTTATTTGTTCGTTTCATGTTTCCTGTGGCCCTACTCAGAACATGTTTAATCTATAATTTTATAAAAATTTGAGAAGTGCACAATGTCAATGATATTATAGTTTTACTAAGTAAATTGGTACTGAGAAAAATCCCGACAAACTATGATGGCTTGCAGGAATAGTTAAAGGCTTCCTACACTTCTAAAGGCAAATTTAATCCCAAATTTGCAAAGGTGTAAATGTAATGTTCGCCTAGCCTTACCTCCATCAAGGCAAGAACAATGGACCAATAGGATCACGGTGCCAGCTGCTTGGCCAATGATGGGCTTGGTTTTATTGCGTCATCACCGGAACCAATCAGATTTCTGTGTATTTTTGTTATTTTCTTTTCTTTCACTTTATTTTCTATCCCCCCCCCCCGTGGTATTGCTATTGCCATCTGGAAGTACTGTTCCCTTTTTTAGTAGTCGACAAAAAGCAAATGACCAATGAAATAATCGTAACCTAGTTTGACAGCTTCTTAAAGCACTCTGGATTCTGCTGCCCACTTGACAGATGCTAACAGAATCGAGGGTCTCCGTATGCATGTAAGCAACAAGTTTTAGACAGCAAAGATATGAGGATGGTATAACACTCGTGATAATGCTGGAGTTTTAGAACCAAATTCACATATTTCACCACTTTTTGCAGTGAAATTCTTAGTCAGTCTATGCGAGGTGATAGTAAATAAGTGGGTAAAATACTTAGTGCTGCTTACGACTTTTCAACTGAGAGGTAAAAGTAGGTTTTCGTGATTACTAGAACAGCTGACGACTTGAAGATTATAAAAGGTCTATTCTCGCCCCTAACGTCTATAGGCCGCAGTCACATTATCGTTAGGCTAGTTAATTGCTTGTGGCATACAGGCCTGCTTTTGTTACCTAATATTAAGCAAAAATTGAGAAAAAGGCAAGTTTGAAAACAAATATTTGTTCTTTCGAATCGCATGACGCCCAAGAAAGGGCTAATTTTACCAACCCACCTGGGTGTGATATTGAATTGATTTACGTGTTCACACCAGCGGTACCTTTGCACTTAAATCTTCTGCTTAAAAATTTTGGGAAGTTCCCCATTATCTCTTGCTAATTCTCTGCGAAAGTAAGAAACCAATTTTAAAATCCCGACTCCTTTATATTTAACTGTAGCAAATTAAATGTTTGTCTGACATTGGGTCTTGGTAATGGATTACTTAGGCCTCCTCCATTGTACCTCCGCTGGAAGACCTAGCCTTTGGGTGGTGCCAGTAGCCCCCAAAATGCCATGCCTTCTTTCTGCTTCAGAAAAACTTAAAGGCACAACACTGACATCGCATTAAATGCTCCGTATTCTTTGCATAAAAAGTCACTTTAAGTTAGAATCTTAACTTTAGCGAGTTAGAAGAAAAGGGACTAGGGGAATCTGTCCATATTACGTACCAATTAGCCCTGGTTTATAGTCATTTAAAACCGAACATAATTCATTTTGCAAAATGAATGGTAATCATTTAGGTTCAATACAATTGCCAAATGGAACCAAGCTTTTATCCAAACTGCAACTCTTTGCTTATAATGACAATATTTTTAATGAAGGTTAGGAGCTGTTTAAGCTCATTTAAAAATAGATTATTGTTGTGAAGCGAGACTCGTCGGTCTCCGCTTCCCTATTCCTAACGTTCTTAGACAAGCCCGGTTGATTCGCTTTGGACATCTTTAGTAAAGGTGACAAGATGGGGAGGGAAAATACAGTGTTCAAGAAGAAGGGGAGCTGTAGTCACTAGGTACGGGGGAGGGCAATCTGACCACGAGATTCCAGTTTTCTGCTTGCCTCCTCCCTGAAAGGTACATTAAAACAACGTAAGTATTGCATAGTAAAGTTTTGATGTCAATTAACCAAGAGAATTGAACTCTAATATTATCTGACTTTTAAGAACAAAGCAAAGCGGATTCTGAAATGAGACGTGGCAATTACGTCTGCGTAGCATTTATCCACGCAGGTCTATAAACGCATAACTGACGGTAACGTGGAAGAATTAACAATACGTTGGTTGTTTGTTTAACGGTCGGTAATGTTGAAGGGCCACTTTGTCTTGACCATTGTACCCGGGCAGGTGAGCTGGCCTCTGAGCCATGCCAGTAGTGCTAATGCCTTCTGTAAGTCGAGTATGTATATTCTGTCTGGGTATTTTCTTCTTTCGTCCTCAGGGAAGTCTGGAGGCGCTACAGTTTAATTAGAACAGATAAGTTTTCTTTGGCTACAATTAATTTTTACAAAATTTTTATAAATCGCCTTGATTTAATCTGATTAATTGTTTCCTTTACTTCTGCCAGACTTAATGTATTTGGAGAGCCTAGATGCAAAAGTAGCCCATCTCTTCACATGCTGGCTGCAATCCTAGCGGTTCTATCGGGCTTGCTGGCCTCTTCATCATCCGCCTGGTCCAAATTCGCTCAGCAACCAGAATTCGGATTTTTCGGTTTTAAGTCGCATTTTTCCGAACATGTCCAATTTTTACTTCAGTTTGGAATCTACTTACTTGGAAATGCGATTATGTGGTTAACATTCGTTACAGCAATCAAGAAAAGTTCGAACGTTATTATTGTTGTGATCTTAAATAATGTTTCAAATTTGTTTGCTACTGTAAGTAGAGTTTATTTTTATTGTCCCCATCCACTCAAGGCTTTCTACGGGTGTTGGTTGTTTGGTGAAAGGATCTCCCTCACCTGGTGTCTCGGCGCTCTACTCATAGCAATCGGATACACTCTTCTTCATCGCCCCAGTGATGAACCAAGAAAGAAATAAATGTGCAATTGCATATCGACTATCTTTTGCACTAACATTCCCAGGTCGAAATTTTGTAACGTTCACTTTTTAAAGAATACTTTTTATCTTCCTGACTTATGATGCTTGGTGAATTTCCTGGCCACGTGACTAATCGTAATCTCATTCTCACGGGGAAAGTACTTTCAAATGTCCTGCTGATAATCTTTTATGTCGGTCGGAGAACGCATACAAGGTTGTTCACTATGAATCCTGGAATCCACGGTGAATGAATTTGATCCAACTTGGTGTGTCAGAAATGTGCAGACATACCTAGAGTCAGTAGACAAGCTGGTAGAGGAATGTCGCCGAAGGGAACGAACCATTCTCGGATAAAATGACCCGGAACAGGAAGTCCTTTTTTTAACGAACAGAAAGAGCCAAACCATTTGGCTCTTCAGATCCAGCCAACTTGGTTAAAAAAAATTCACACTTCTCCAGTGAAACCCTCCCAACGCTTAGGGCTTCCTTACAGCTGTATCCGATTGTTGGAGAACGCGACATGCCCTTGGGTCATCACCTCCCCTTAGATTCCATCGACCCGGGTCCACTGCCTACTCTTAGTCATAAATTGCAGTCATCATCCACAAGGCCCTTCCGCTCACCATTAATCCACCCACTCGTAGCATATTTAGCTGGTCCTGATTAATCCATTCGAAACTCACTCATCCCTCCGTTTGCCCGAGAAAATCAACACGATTTACAAACATAGCTTCATATGCAACAAGCAAAATAATATTCACGGAGGTGTTACTCTTTCGGTTGCTGAAATTCAAAGGTCGAGAGACGCTTCGCCACGCTTTGAGGCACGTCCGATGGAGGTCGCTTCGCCCGCTCTTTGCTCGACGTCTCGGATGTAATGGATTGCGCCTTGGAAGGAGGTCTATTCACCGTCTACAACAGAGATAAGTCGATTGAGTTAATAACTGGATGGAAAAATTGTTTCAATTAGTCACAGTCACACAGCTTAACACCGACAAACGTCTGGGTGGCGAGAGGAATAAATGCACGGAATAGTAATCTCGATAGGTTACTTCAAAATGGGTATTTTATTAATCCACCAAATAGCATTCGGCACTCGTAAAGCATCATTTCGCCTTGAGTCCTCTTCTCCTCCTCGCTCCCGCTCCCCAGATGCAGTCTAAGACGAGACTTTGGATATTATGGAAGCCCGAACATACACCACTGATCTTAGAACTAAATGTCCCGAAATACGTCGCGATGGCTGAGGAAGAAGAGCGATTAAGCAAAGCGCCAAGGCCGCATAAGAGAGAATTTCATGCCTTGATGGGGTAGCTGAAAGGCCGGACCTACAGTCTTCCAGCCCTTCCAGCGGGCTTCCTACAGATTCAAAGGAAATTTGGAGCGACGCGCACTAAATAGATAACCGTGAAAGTGATAGATTGGGCAAGAATCAGATGAAATCAAGGCGGGTGGTTGCATTAAGAAGAGTTGAATAGCTGAATTCAGCAATGGATTCGACAAGAATTAGTGGGCGGAGCCAATACGAATAGACTGGTGACAGTTGGATGGATCTAGAATTGATTGATGGACAAGCGGAAAGTGGATTAAGCATGGCTAGGAGATTAAAGGCTGTAGAGGTTGAAAGAGAACTCCAAGAAAATTAGATGGATGACAGGCGGATGAATAATCTCTAGAGAGGTGGTCCTAAGACTACTCAGTAGATCGAAGGAATCTGGACTAGATGGGCAGCTCGACGAGTAGAAGAGGACTCATAAAACCCCACCACATTAGAGGTAATTAACTATCTGTCCAGAAAGCTGAAACAAATGACTAAACAAAGTAGGAGTGCAGGGGGATGAGATGTGAATCCAAGACCAATAAAGTGGAGGGGAAAGTCTGAAACCGATCAGTGGATCCTGAGAAGTCAAATCAATCATGGACGGAATGAACCAGCGCCAAATGGATTAAATGAAGAATCTAGGGACATTGGAAGCTTCGGAACAGATAGGTGAGTCAGATTCGTAGAAACCCCAACATCTCGGGCTTGAAGGCTTGGGGCGTTGATGGATGGACGGACGAGTGGATGGACGACTCGGAGGCAGATGAGCCCGAGACCAGTAGTCGGATCCAAGCGGTATGGATGGATCAGGATGGCTAAGTGAATTAAGCATGAACCCGCGATGGGCCGGCTAAACGGACAGAGTTGCGGAAGAGGTAGGTGGATGGAGATAAATGACTGGAAACGATTTCTAGAGAGCTAAATGGATGCATGTTTGGCGAGAAAACCACATCAAACCAAATCCTACCTTCCCACTAAACGTCCTCCTCCCCTCTTTCTGCAAATTTGACCTCGCGGCTTGGTGAGGCCTGGCTAGTGGCGGTTTCAACTCATCCAGAACACAACTTCCTCGTCCTCCAAACTGCTGCTTCGGTCCATCCTCACTCCTTCGCTGCAGTGGAAAAAATCATATAAGGGGTAACATTCAAGGTCCGTTTGGAAAACTGGACAAATCACTTACCTTGAATGGGTTAAAACGACTGCCTTGAGTTGAGGTAGACGCCGTATCAGAAGCTGAGAATGGAAGCTCACTGGATTCTTCTTCTTCGACCTCTGCCTTCTCGCTATCGCTTTCCCTAAGAGGAGAGATGGAAGTACACCAATAGGTTATAAAGGCCACTAGAGCACGAAGGAGAAGCCCAAACCTACCCAAGAACTTCGACAACAACCTCTTCCTCTTCTGCTTCTTCTTGATTGTCACCTTCCTTATTCTCCTTGTCATCCACCTCCGAAGAATGCCCACCCTCATCCCTCTGTTCTTCTTCTTCTTCTTCCATTGCCAATGCGATTCGTCCGATCCGATTGGCTAAAGCTGAGCGGTTGAGACGCAGGGCGTATCGAATCGCCAGTCGAACAGTTTCAACGTCTGGCATTAATCCAGCCACCGTTATCGCCGCCCAATCATTCTCCAGCTTCGACGCCAGCTATAAGATGGAGAGAAGCATTCACACCTCTGACATTCTTACATTCAACATGGAACGGGTCCTGCAGGGATCCCAACCGGAGTAACCATGAGATGAAGACTTCAATGCGGACGCCTTTGGTACTGGGAGTATTATTTGTGCGTACTTGCCACCCGATTGGATTGGTGACCTTGACCTTACTGGTGCATGTAGGGTGCGTCTCCGTGTCACATTGGCCAGTGAGGAGGACTCAACAAGAGTGCAAATCGAGGCATGTTCTGCATTGGTCAAGCACTCAACTCCCGATCAGGAATCTCTATCAATCCAGAATGACTGGTTTTGACCTGGTCTTGAGCCCTCCTCCTCGCCTCCGCCCCCACCGCGAAAGCATAGTTTAGGACAAAACGGCGAATATTATGGAACCTTCTCGACACATCACCGATCCTGGAACCAGATGTCTTTCCGCCTTGATGGTACAGTTGAAAGGCCAGACTTACAATTCTCCAGCTTCATACGGATTGAAGGGAGGCTTAAGGCATCGCGTACTGGATAGATGATCGAAGAATTAATAGATTGAACAAGAATATGTGAATGGATCGTGTCTAATAGACGTGGGATCGGCTGTTTTGGAAGCATATGCACCAATCAGTCAAAGACCTCACCATGAACAAAAGTCCCGGTTAGACCTAAACGTGCTCCGTAGTTTCAACCAAACGTGCTCCTCTCATTAGGTCATTAAACGGGGATGGGAAACTCGCAATGTTCCAGCAAAATACCACTGACCGACTAATAAAACCGATCAACTTACAGCAAAAAGACGAAGCAGTGTCTTTCGTCGACTGCTCATTCGACTGGGACTAAGCGAAGTCTCCGAGTCTGTGCAGACACCCCAGAAGGGTTTCTGATCCAGAACCAAGGTTCGAAGATAGTTTTCCTCCAACTTTCCCTGATCGGTCTCATAGACGCCGCATAATGGCAGTGTAAAGGGTAGACTTGTCACAATCGGTTTTGGAATAGGTCTCGGCCACCGCGAGGCCTTACAATAGATCGCTTGCACCTGTCCAAAGCCCAGCTCATCCCTCCTGATTCGCTGTGTCCGGTCGGATTCTGCAACAGCGTCGACGTCTTCAGCCTCCTCGAGACTCTTTCCCTTGGTGTCCATGGGGTGGTGAATATCTTCGACCACCCCAACAACAAAGAAACAATCCTTCAATCGATGGTGGGGCTTCACACAACGTCGAGTTTCACATACTGGCACCCAGTGGAAATCCATGACATGTGGAGCTTCTGCCATGGTTTGATGGGTCAAACGACGTAGGCATCCAGCTGAGTCGTGAGTAAAGAGATTTCCAATTTCGGAGAATCCCAACCATGTCAAATGAGCAGAGGGAGAAAGTGGAAGAGGGTAGAAGGTCGAACTAAGGCGGCCAAACGCCCATCCCCGTGGAGCTCCGGTCGTTATGGAGAAATTGAACACTCGCCAGTAGAGATCTTCATTGCTCCAACCAACAACAACCGCGAGAATGGGTAAAGAGGGATGGCTGACCATGGTAACCACATCTTTACCGGGTAGACTGATCGGTGGTAGGCCAAGAGACGTGGCCTGCAGCAATTGAAGTGATCCTCCTGCTGCCACAGCCGAAGCTGCAGGCTGGACGAAGATTCTCAGGAGTCTAGAAGATGTAGCAACCACTGCTAAGCTTTCTTCGTTTCCAAGAACCAGAGAAATCGCACGGCAGGCCTCTCCTGGAGGTAGATTAACTGTCCAGTCAGAGGCAGTATTTGAGATGGATTCTTTTCCAAAAGCCGTGTTGTCCAGTGGACGAACGAGGACAGTACTCAAATCAGAGTCGTCCACAGCCTTCCCGCTATCAAAAGCGTCCATCAAATAGGCGTCAGCTAGACCCTGAACAAGATAAAAGAAAAAAAATCGGTGACTTACAGGTGAGGCGAGCATAAGAGCGGTGGCATTCAGGTCAGCCATGGTGAATCCCTGACCCTCCAAATGGATTCCGTGGTGCAGAGTGGTATCGTGGAATTCCACTTCAATTGATGTGCTCTTGGAGTCGTTCGGATCGTCATCTTCAAAGAGAGTTACTACTCCAATGTGGTTCCATACAAGAAAACGCTCACGGAAGCCTAGTAAAGTAGGAATCAGAGGGGGGTGCTTTCAAGCCTACCTGAAGGCATGGATCCAGGTTGGAAGGACTTAATTTCCACCGAAGATGCTGATGATGTAGTAGCCGTTTTCGTCACCATGTTTTGGTCAGAATGGTGTTCTTTCGTAAGAGGAGTCAGTGATTCAGTCGTGTCATCATCTTCCACGTTCAATTCACGCAAATATTTGGCCTTGATATCCGAAATAGCAATGGTGTCGCCGTCATCCCCTTCGTCCTCTGAATGGGAGGCAAGGGGATTGGGCTTTGACTGCTTCCCCACTTTCTTAGAAGTTTCCGTCACCTCTGTTGCTGCTTCCGCTTCCGCAGCAGCTGCTGCCAATACAACTTCTTCCTCAGCTTGATCAGAGGCGACGTTTATCAAATCAGTGTATTCCATAGAATCGGTATCGCTGAAGAGAGCTTTGATCCCATCGGGAGAGAGGCCTGCATTGAGGCCAACTTCTGAGTGTTCGACAGCCTACAGTTATTGCTTTTGAAGGCGTTTCGAGAACTTAATATACGCGTTCAAACCGATTCTACTCCCATAATAGTGCCACAAAGATCTAGGCTACAATCCTTCACCCCTCAGTCTCTACATGACGTTAGTAGTGGCGAACCTGCGCCATGTGTAAGGGCGACCAAGCGTGGCAATAGTAGAATAACCCAATCAAGGCTAACAATAATTCTGATTCTGTTGGTTAGATTCCACGTCTAGAAGCCGGAGAGGGGAGACGCCAGCCATAGGCCAGTGAATGCGCAGAATCCCACTGAAGGGAATCTACTAAAACCCCACTGAATTGTGGAACAAATTCCAATATTAGGGCCTTCAGAAATGAGCATTGATGCAATAATTCACCAGCGGCGCCCCAGCAATTCCGAATTGCTCCCTACTGAATCCATAACTCTGACCAAATGGAGGTGGTAGACTTAAGATGCCAACTACTTGCGATTCCCACCCACATTATCTAGACAGGATGTTCAGGGTCAACAGATAAGTCGACTTGCAATCGAACATGTAAAACCAGATTGTCATTCCATGTAGCCAAAATGAGCAAGACCCACCTGTTTTGAAGGAAGATCAATTGATATGAAACCGACAGCCCCAAATTTGTCAGTACAGTAGATGATATTTTTCTGCGGCCAAATCATACTGCACACATTTTCAAAGGCAGAGTTACGAATGCTGAAAAAGGTAACATAAACTCTTTAGGGAATAATTGGCACTTACGAATAGAGCACCATCTTATTTTTTGAATTCCATATCACCAGCCATCCATCCGCACTTATGGCAGCCAGCGCTTCATCATCAGATAAAAACTCACATTCAATGAACATCTTGTCTGCCCTGGCATATTCAAGAGTTCGAGCTAAATTCCAGTTGTCATATCGATCGTAAATATGGATGGCTCTTTCAACAGGAACAGCTAAGAACTTAAGTTACGTGTTTTTAAAGAGAAACTCAGCTCATACTCCACCATTTATGGGTTCCCATTTTAACTTGCACCTTGAGGTTGTGAATTCTGGATCGATGAATTTGGAAAGAATGGAGAAACGTTTGACTTCCGAGGCGTCACTCAATCGCCAGATTCGAACAGTTCCATCACAGGAGGAGGTAGCAGCAAAAGTTTCCAGTGGATCAAAATCGACGCTTAGTATGGGACCAGTGTGTCCCCTAAACGTAACCTCCCGTGATGACGCATTTGTACCTGTCAGATCAACTAATTTGACGATAAAATCACTAAGATGTATCTAAAAACCAGGAGAGGTCTAACCTGCTGCCAGCTAGGAGGCGAGTTTTGTCTTTATTGAGGGCTAAACAGTTTACACCGGCCGTAAATCGAGTAGCAATACCATCAACCAAACCACCATCAATATTTTGCAGATAGACATGGAAGCCCTCTGTGCCCACAATCACAGTTTCATCCTAAAAAAGAATTCACATAACTTTGTGATTACTTTGCATAGGATACAGTTCACTGCTTCGCCGACGACATATTCAATAGGATTGGGGTCGTCCTTACTGGTGTAGACGCGAAGTTTCCCATCCATACTTGCAGTTATAATCCGGCTACACCATTTTGCAAAAATCCGATGAAATACTTGTTAAGAAAGTCATAGGCGACGACTGTCCTCCCTATATTATGACGAGAGCCAAAAACATTAAAGCGATTCAACATAGTGATCAGAGTTAGAGCTTAATCAATTTCGAAATGAGGTCGAAGGTCACAAATGACTAACAACAGCTAAAAACACCCCTTTCTGCATTCATTTATAAATCAAAGGTATAGTATAGAAAAAGCATGTTTTTGCAATAGTTCTACTGCTGGAAAACAATTGGCGTTGTCATTTTAGAGTAACTGGGAAAAGAAGCCAATATTTAGTAGTAAAATTTTTTATATAAAATGGTGTCTAAATGTAAAAGATAAACACTTTACATCTCCAAAAGAGGCTTAAAATGTGCGAGAATGACCGTAAACAGGATGTTATTTTGCAGAAGGCATGTATCCTAATCAAAGTTGGTACAGTAACAAGTACTGAATAAAATATCCTATTATTTATTGGGTAATTTTTAAACACCTTTAGTTGATGTCCTACACCTTGCTGGCCAAACAACAATAATCGGTCAATTTTGTGTAGCTGATTTGCTCACGTGTAAAGACTAGCCCATTTTTGCAACAGGTTTGTGTGAGTGTTTTATCACTGGTTTTCGGTTGCTTTTTTTCCCAAGTTATCAAACATGTACACCACGCATACCACATATTATTGGTGTATTTTTGCTTGCCATCATAGCTGAAACACCTTTTTTCCAAAAGACGAAGCTTATCTGCTGGTGTCTTCTGCTTTTCAGATGCAAATGCAATCTTGGCCACTTTTTCAACGCTCGTGCATTCTCACTTCCCGTTTCGCTTGCTCCAAAGCTGGTCCAATTCAGACTGCAATTAAAGAGAAACTCACAGCTCTTTTTAAAGTTCTTGAATCTACTATTGCTTATTCCAACTCTTTAGCCCACTTATCTTGATGTCATTAATGAGAGTCATCATCACGCCTCCAACATCGGTCATGAATCCCATTTCCGCATTTCCATTGTCTCCAAGGACTTTGAAAACATTGGTGATGTAATGGTATGCTAAGTTTATTTCTGTCTATTCCTCTTTAGCGACATCGGTTAATCAAGAAGGCTCTTCAGCACGAATTTGACGCAGGTTTGCACGCGATCTCCATTCTGGTTGGTTTTGTTCCCGTTAGCAACTAATCACTTCTTTGGCTAGGCAAAATCTCCTTCCGAAGAAATGAGGGAGCACAGATCCGTGCCATGCATTGGGAAATCGAAAGAGATAAACCTTGACGAGTGATGCTTTGTATGTATTTTAACCATAACTTTGGTTATTGAATATATTCTAGTTTTATTTTTGTTGTGTACGCCTCCTGTGAATAAATTTTGGCTAGTCATCGTTGCTACTTCTCCTTCCTGTGCTACTATGAAGGCGTTCGAAGGGACTGGATTCGGAGAACAAAGACCGGGTGAGGTTGCTGCTGTGTCAGATAGTAGACAGGTGTAACACCAACAATATTCTTCTTCGCCACCTGTTCCACCTTTTCCTAATTTTTCTAAAATGTTACCTTAACACTGGTTATTCATCATTCATCAGTCGGACTTTCGGTGCGCTCTGCTTCTGCTACGCATCCCCGAGCATTTCCAAATCCTTAATTTGACCCTTAAAGTGGAACGTTTGACCAAACACAGGCTATGTATGGAGAGGAATGGATTTGCGCCCCGAGCTAATTTTCTCATTAAAAACAGAATGTTGTTCCAAGGTGACATCGCTTAAAGTCAATTGTAACGGCTAAACATATCGTCTGATGGGAATAATTGCATATCTCGCCGCTGGCTTCATCGATTCCCGCTCCGCTTTATTTCTAACGTTCCGACAAGAACGCAAAACTTAAAACTTCTCTCGCCTCGATGGGAAATTTCAAACGCTGCGATGGATTTATTGTCTTGAATTCAGAGCTCGGGATTTAGATTTCACTCTCCAAGTCTGCTGTTACTATCCTCTACCCCACAACACCTGCCTGTAGAAGAGTCAACAGCTCGAATTAGTAAAAATTCAACTCCAAAAGTCAATAAACACAAACACCGACTACTGTGACGATTTGTCCCCGCCTGTGAATAACCTTGAGATCAGCTTGCTGAACATTGATTGGTTGGCAGAGAAAATTCAAATTTTGCAAATTTTGCGATGCAAGCAAGGGTAGCATTGATTCCACCTTTAGCCCATTTGAGCTCGATATTGTAAAACAGAGTTTATTTGAACATCGTTAAGGAGTCAAATACATCTGGCGGTATTGTTTGCCATCTCGCAAAGAATTAATGATGCCAGTAAAGAAGTCAGGGAAGGTGTTGAAAAAGCGTTCTCTCTCCTTTGCAATCTTCCTAGGTGTACAGTATTAGGCATATAGGTCCTAGCCGTAATTGTTGTTTAGTCCTTATCATCAGCATCGTAGTGGGCAGTTCTGTTCGTAGAACACCAAGCACACAAGTTATCGTCTTTTAAAGGTGATGCGCTGCCTTCCTTGGCGGTGGCAAACTTGGCACATTGCTCTCATTAGCGACACGCTGGCGACTATTCCGTAGAATAGATAAAACCCTCCTTAGCATGGGTGCTTCACCATTAGAATTGAGGTTTTTTAACCATTTGCTTCCGAGCAGTACGATGCGCTCCCACCGCCTACCACACAAACATCAAACTCCTTATGACCAATTTGATGAAAGGCCTCTGCGGCATTCTTTAAACCATGTTGGTTTCCATCCGTCAGTTTCGTTGGACAATATTTTGCGAAACGGAGTGAAGGAGGAAGGGTGCCTGACATTAGAAGAAAGGAGAGCAGAGAACAGTAGATAATAACGTATCAATGCATTAGGTCAAATCGGGGGCCTCCAAGTGACATCTACAAGTCATTACAGTAAGTTATGGCAAAAATTGCACAAACTCTTCTTGATCCCCTGACCCATGAATTGAAAAATGCTATGGATGTTAAAGATGTTCCCATTCAGCCAAAAAGGCAACGAATTAGAGGATTCGTAATCGGCGCTTCACTTCGTAACTCTCTCTCCATCGCCTCGCCAGTGATGCGCCCTCAATTCTATCTACGTTGAAGTTTTTCCATTCAATGCTTTTCGGAAAGAATAGGTGTCATAACGAAGCCAAATTTTGCTGCAAATTATTTGTGTGGCTTACAAAAGGCCATTTTATTAGTTGAATCATTACGATTGTGACTAAGAGGGTGCATCATTCTCGAACTCCCCATACAAGGTTTGTGGATTGATAAAGTGCCCTGCCACCAATCTTTCATGATGAGATTATTAGCCGTTTATTTGATTCCTTACCTGATCCACTAGATCATCTTTTAAGCTTGAAATACTTGCAAAAAATACCTTTTTAAAGTACCTCTCCCTAATACTGAGGATAAAAAACTGCTTGAGATTACACTCCAATGATTCCTCTGACTTATTCTCCGAAAGTTTCTAGTAAGTAGGAACATTAAATGTACTTAAATTATTTAAGTGACATCTTAAAATAATTTCAATACGTTTGACGAACTTCACTGCGAGCAGTCTATTCTCTCCTCGCCTTCGCCATGATGTAAAGTAACAAAAAAAGACACGCGAAAATTGGCGTTTCAATAAGAAGAACAACTGTAAATGTTCATCGCCCTGCATCGAGCGTGTATTTATCCCCACAAGTGGGTAAAATTATCGATTAGTGAATTAACCACACGCCGTCAAATCAATCGATTTATTGGTTTTCCGGTAGGCTTAGAAATGATCCGCATTTTGCTCCACTTTTTTAGTCCAACATCATCCACCCTCTCCCCGATGTGATGAAATTTGACCTTAACTTTCTTTTGCTTTCTTTTTTCCGGAACTTATGATTTGCACCTTTATTGATGTCTCTCTTCACATAAGCACCTATTGCTGCCCGATTGCCAAACTACGCAAATTGGCATCACTCACACAGTCTTGTGACAATCACGGACAAATTAATTTCCGTCAACTGCGTCGGTCACAATGCAAGCCCAAAGTGCATCTTCACTGCGGACAGTATAAAAATGCCGTTCAGGGGGGTGGACTGCATTACTGCCCTCGTCAAAAAAATGCCACTTTCCATGAAGACAAACTGGCAACATGCGCCTCTGACAACTTGTTGCTGTCATTGTTGCAGCTCTGTTGCAGGTACAACCACCGCGGATTTAACCTGTGGACTGCAAGGAAGTCGTCGAAGCCGAATGGACAGCTTTTCTGGACGGGATGGAACACTTCCACGGGCGTCGCCATCACATGTCACGCTCTATAGAACCCATTCTGTAAGACGAATCGCACCTTTGGAGGTTGTGTGTGCTCCACCACCTCCACCTCCACCACCACCACCTGATCATGCAACTACAATATGCTGTCAGACGAATAATCCTGTGGAAACGGGTATCTACCTGTCCTCGCCCTTTATTCTCAAGGTAAGGTTGCCCCATTTCTGCCGACTTGACATGTCAGAATGGCTAAACTTTTTGATTATCTTTCCCGCTAATCAGGAAATTTTAAAACTAAAATGTAGGGGTCACATTAATCTCATAATCGCCATTCCACACATTTTCGTATTACCTCCCAGTTAAAGCTGTCGCCAATCAAAAGCTGGACTTGTTGAGGCATTGTTCAAAGTATGAATACCAGTCACTTTCCATTAACTTTTTTCTCAAGAAAAGCAACCTACACGTACAACCATTTGATGAACTCGAGGTCTTTACTTAAATGTATGCTAAAGAATTAAAAAAGCCTTCCCGCCACTGTCATGATGAGGAGGTTAGGTACCTCTGCGATGAAATTTTGGCACCGTTTCATGACCTGTTTTTAAAACGATACTGCTTTAATGTTTTAATTCTATAGCAATCATATAAAACAAATAACAAATGGTGACAAATAAGCGCTTCAACATGAGGCCCTTGACTTCACTTGACCCTAAACTGATTCATAAGCCAAAAACTGTAGGCAGTTTATGGCGGCGACCACTCTGATTGGCCAACTTGGGGGAATAGGTCTAAATCCTATTGGCATAAATTTCCGCTGACTTTTTCATTGGTCCAAATTTGATCTATTAATAACACTAAAGGTTGGTCATTTCACATCTGAATGTTGGTAAAATTTCGGGTAGGTAACGCTCCAAAAGAGGACACTAATATCCTCATTTAACTGCGTGTTAAATCTATTTACGTACTTTGGACAGATTTGAGCCATTGAAAGGTCAAATTATAATTTATATCAGAGAAGCAATTATTTTGATTAATTGTTGATAGTGCTCAAGATAAATAATTGTAGATCACAATAGCCGCAGGTGATGCAATGCCTTTTCATTAGTCCATTACGATTAATTTTATTAGAAAAAGATTTCAATAGTACTGCATTTTGCATGAATGGCAGGTGTCATTAGTCAAAATTCGAGGCCGTGCCCTGTTTGACTTGCTTCAAATCGACGATTACATTTGATTCAAAGCTACTATTGGCCGAAGGCCTAAGTTACGATCTCAATGAATCGCTTTCAATAAATTAATTAATTTGAATTTCCCCTCTTATGCTACAAAAATTTTGCTTCATTGCTATTTAGAAAAATTAATTCCTTGGCAGAATGTATTCACCAGCAGTTCTAACCCCAATTTCTCCAAACCTACCAATCATGTCAAAATGTCCAGCCCCTTCTCGTCAATCACGCCATCCCTTCATGCAATTTATTCTAGGACGTTCGTCATCGCTATCGTTCACCGCTGAAGTCTTGCCACAGCCCATCCAACCGCAATGTCCGCTTCTGTAGTCCAGGCGGCCGACAACAACAACGAATCCGCGCCGCCTCATCCTGTTCGTCTGAACGCGGCGTCATCTATCCCTCTAGAGGTTCCCGTGGCAGCAGTCTTGTTCGTGTCTACTCTCGATCTAACTCACCCGTCTGTGAGACCATTCTCACCTCTAGTCTACCTTCAAAAGCTGCGGGTACAGTCTCAGTTGCTTGTGAATGCAATTTACCACCGGCATGTCTGCCGAAACCTCGCATCAGGTATCTGAATCCACTGCGACCACAAACTTGTTGCCGCCCGACCAACGATGTTGCATGTAGCTGTCGTTGTGATGTTCACTTCCCACCACCACCTCCACCACCATCAGCACCATCGCCAAAGCTAGTGAACTGCGGCTCCTGCTGTAACACCACTGGTGTCGTTGATCGGTGCACAAATACAGGACCAGACTGTCAAGTTGTTGAGTGCTGTCAGGTGGGTTTCTTAATAAATCCGGTTGTTAACATTCATTTTGTAAACTGTTATTTTATGCATTCAATTCGGGCACTACTCAGTTACCTTCAGTGACGCCGAACTAGAAGTTAGGATATGTACCGAGACTTGACACGAGGCGGCACAGTTTTTGGAAAGGGTAAGAGCTGTTAAGCATATTCCACCTCGCAGTCACTATTCTGGAACTGGATAGAGATACTAGATGCGCAGGAGTATTATTAAGAGGGCTCCGGATCACGGAAGAAGTAGGAAGGCTTGTGCTAGTAAATACATAAATGAAATGGGTATGGCAGTTTTTTTCTACATTTCTATTTCCACATTTTCCTAGATCTCTCTGCGTGAGCCACCATCTTCTCCAAAACCTGGAGCAATTAATTGTGAAAGCCAGACATGTGTTCCGTCCTCGCAGTCACCGAAATACGAGCGTTACGAGGCTACCTCGTGTCTTGTGGAACGCATCACCACGCGAAAGCGAACTGTGCCACGAAGTTTTTCATGTGTCCGGGCTCCTGACCCCAGCTACTACCTTAGACTGATGGGGCGAAAGGAGAATGATCTATGGAACCGCATCTCGGAGTGTGAGATGGACCTAGCGGCGTTCGAGTGCATGATGTGCAGTGATGGTGAGTCGAAATAGGCGCAGAGAAGCAGATAGTAGGGGTTTTATGATGAAGAGGATAGCATATAGGTAGTCAAAACGGTCGAGGATGTCACAAATGTGATTGATGTCCGGACGAATGAATGCATGACGTGGAGCTGGGTCCGAATTTGGTGAATGAATGGCGAAATGGAAGGATTATTGGATCGATAGGTGGAGTGAGGAGTGAATGAAGGAATTTAGAATGGCCGGATTCAAGATGCGCCAACGAGTGGAGGAGTGAAAGCGTGTATAATGAGTGGACGCATCTCGAACTACTTTCAGCTGTTTATATTATGCACCACCGCTTCGATCTCTATCTAGACGTCTATGTTCAAATGTGCCATTCAAGGTGGATTGGGAACGCGTACATGACAATCCCGTATAGATATCGGCTTCTTAAATAACATTCATTATAAATTCTCTTTTGTAGAGAAACAGAGATCACAAAGTATATTTAATTTCTAAACCACTCAATTTTTATTTCGTTTTCTAGTGGTGACCTACATCAAAGACGCCATCGACAAGAGTCGTCATTTAATAGACTGTGAGTTTCGAAGGATTCGACATCTCTGCAACTCTGACGTTTTTAATTGCTGCCATGCTGACAATGGGTTTCGCCGCGGCAGCAAAAGCATTGAAGAGCTGTGGCACGAGGCACAACTCAAGCTGAGTGAGGTGTCGCATATGATGGATAGGATAGATAGGCTGCGATCGAGTGGATGGAAATGGTAGAAGAGCATTCGCCAATGCAGGAGCTTTACAAAAATCCCTATTTACATCTTATCAAATTATTCTATAATTGGTGAACAAAAGTGTTCTTTTTTGATCTGACTTATTGGTGCAAAGAATCCCTGCTCAAATTTTACCTCTACGGGAACCACGGCTGCAGGACACTCAAAAAATTGTAAATCTAAAAGTATTCAAACAGCGAATCATTCATGATGCAAAACAAATCCAATGGTTTGTGCAAAATTAGACCATAAATGCCAAACAAAAAAAGATTTTCTAACCACTAAAACGATAGAAAGGGGCAGGTATAGTTTTGTTTAGCGTTAACAATATTTTTACCAACAAATGAAATTAAAAAAACCTTTTGATTTAATAATGTTTTTAGCACATACAACAAATTTGAAAAAGGAAAAAAATGCAAGTGAGCAAATTTTGTTATTAAAGGTTTGTGGTCTTTAAAAAGGCAGGCACATGGTTTGTTTATATGACCTAACTGTAGCGTCCAGTCTTCGGATTTCCGGAATCCATAGCTGTGGTGATGAGAGCTGATAGGAAAATTTACATTGGAAACCTTCCTCCTGAAGTTAGAACTAAGGATTTGGACTCAATTTTTTCGAAGTATGGTCGTATTGCGGACATCGACCTGAAACGTCGTCGTGGTCCTCCTTTTGCCTTTATCGAGTATGAAGATGAAAGGTAGTGGTTAATCTCCGACTTTATTTCCGCTAATAGGGACGCAGAGGATGCCGTTCGTGATTGTGATGGTTACAAACTTGAAGGCTACGCACTTCGGGTTGAATTTCCTCGAGGTGGGAGTTATAGTTCCTTCCGTCGAGGCGGTGGTCGCGGCAGCGGTCCTTCTCGTCGTTCTGATTATCGTGTCATTGTTACCAATCTTCCGCCGTCTGGTAGCTGGCAAGACCTGAAAGATCACATGCGTGAAGCTGGGGATGTTGGGTTTGCCGATGTGTTCAAAGATGGCTCAGGTGTCGTCGAGTTTCTGCGTTACGAGGACATGAAGTATGCTCTGAAGAAACTGGACGATTCAAAATTTAGATCTCATGAGGTAATTTACATTTCCATCGTTTATTCCGCTTTTCTGTAGGGTGAAACATCCTACATTCGTGTACGTGAAGAGCGTCAGTATTCCCGATCAAGGTCACGGTCCCGTTCATATTCGTCGCCAAGGGATAGGGGTCGATACTCGAATAGTCGTTCGGCCTCTCGTTCCTCGAGTGAACGGCGCTAAAGAGATACTGTCTGAACTTCACGCTTCCCCACTTCTTTTGAGGTGTGCTTGCGTTTTATCTAATACCACCTTTTAACATAATGAAATTCCCACACCCAAGGTCTAATACCTATCCCTCTCTTTTGAAGGTTCATGTTGGACATGGACACTGCTAGTGCCGGTTTTGGTTCGTTCGGACACACTAGGGAGGATGCCATGGAGGATATTAGTCCACATTAGGGAGGCACTGGATCCACCGGAGAGGAATGGATTGAATAGGACTAGGATTTCAGTGGATGAGGATAGTGAAACCGGTCTTCAATACCGGTTTCAGCGCCATCTGATGTGTGGATGGATGGAGCGAGTGAATGCGCGAATTTCTGACGAAAATGAATGCATTTGGACGGAGGAGGGAGTGCGATGGAATGATCTTGGAGATGGAATGGAGGAATTGCCCTGGCTCCTGCAGCTCTTTTGCTGCTCGTGGAATCTCATGGTTAAAAAGTTTTGGTTTAAGCTAATATCGATCCTAATAGTGCTAGTGAAAATAAATTCAGGTTTTTCGTAGTAGAAGTTGCAGTTTCCTGCTACAGTATTGCCATTTTTCAGGGCATGGGCTTGGTTATCGATATTTGCAGATCAGTAGCACTACCGTTGCCTTTTTGTATGCATGTTTATGGTAGAGCATTCGCTTCAGAGGCGCGGGACCTCTTTCAGGTCTTCGGCTCAGACATGTTGCATCTTTCCTTTTTTGCTAGTAAAAGGAGGATTTCATACCTTCCAACTTTTCTCTTATTGAAAAGTGCCTGGGCTATTCGCTGAAGTATGTGGGTGTTAACTCTTCTCGTTCCGAAACCTGGGTGTGCTTGCACTTATTGTTATGGGTTCTCTACCCATGGATTGGAGGCCCAGATAGTTGATGCGAGGAGTCCGTCTGCCAGTTTTTAATCGTTTATCTGATTTGGATGTCTGCAGCCAAAAACAATGGGTAGTGTGCTGCTGTCAGCCCGCTGTTATTACTTCAAGGATGACCCGGTTACTGTTCGCATTGAAAGCTACGTCAGAAAGTGACCAGAACTAGGTGGGTGTTGGCTGTGGGGTTCGGGGTTGTCCATTGCTCTCCTGGCGGTCAAGCGGTGACTTCCCCCATCGCGCTTTATGGTGCCAGCGCCTGGCGATGCTTGGCGAGGGCTGGGTCACGGTGGTGGCTGCGCATTACTCGTGTGAGAATTTGGGTGTGATAGCTAAGTAGTTTGGGGTTTTCGTACCTTGCCTTGCTTGGCGTACGTGGCCGTGCATCGTGCAGCTAGGCTTTTCCTCATTTCGCTGGCATAATTCTCCTTGTTGAGGCATTCGTGTTTTGGTTGCGGGGTTTGGGGCCTCCCGCTTCTCTGGATCTGGGGCTGTTGTAATTCATTTCAACCGGAGGATGGCTTCCGTGATATAGTTTAACCTCGGCGGGGCTCGGTGTGTCGGCGTCGCAGCTCGGCGTGTGGCAGTCTGTCCAACTGTGAGGCGACCGGTGGTTCTGTCAGGCCCCTTCGCGCTTTGCTGTCCTAGCTTGTGGGGTTTGAGCGGTGCGTGTATATGCACCGTGAGGCGCGGGTGTTCGTCAGTCTGTCGGTATGGTTCCCTTCATCGAAGCCCCCTTATATTAGGTGTAGAGTGGCACGCTGATTTGTGACGGAAAGCGGTTCCCATATCGTGGAATTATTCGAACAAACATTACACGGACTTCATGCGACCGATTCACTCCCTACCCACGCACATGAGGTTATGTATCACTAAATCCTTAGGTTTCCACACTTTTCGGACGTGCGTGATCCACCGGGAGCGGGATTTTTCACTGTTAGGCCATCACCAGAGACCGAATACGGCTATTATTCATCGATCAATGAAAATGGGAGAGGACCCTCTTTTAAAGCATCTAGAATTAGCGAATTGGTAAAATGGGGTTCCTATTCGTGGAGACATTCGCTCCAGGATAGGATGAGCTACTGTTCCATCCTTCGAGGCCCTGTCACCCCCCGAGTACGTCACCAAGGCATAAGCAGCTGTCACACTTTTGTGGCATTGACGCCGGGCAACCGCATGCAAATCGGAGAGAAAGCACACAAACCTGCCCGCTATTGCTGACTTCTCTAAAGGGGCAGTCAGTTATGTCGTTGCTTCCGAAAGATGCCTTGTGCCTAAATATGACAAAGGTCTTTTTTAGATGAAGAGTCCAGCACAAGCCTCTTCCCCAGCGAAGATACAGAGTAAAATTATCTTCGGAGACTCAGTATGTCCTATCCGTTGGGCCTGACAAGTCAGCTACAAATTCCCCGACCTTATGGGTGACCGATACTCCACATATTGGTCTAATCCCATTGATTGAACTATTTTCTCCCACCCTTTTAATGAACGCATTCAGAATAACGTGGAGAAAACCTAGAAGAGATCCACACCGACCCAGTCTCCCTAATCCAGTTGATGATTTGCACCTCAATTAGATAGAACAGCCTAGCATTTAGGACGATTGAAGATAAACCATTACCAGTATTAACTGGTACACGTTCACCTTGATTGACAACACAAGCAAAAAATGTTATTTATGTGGACAACGAGTCAAGCCATAATAATCCACAATGCCATATACCGAATGAATAATAATGTGTCAAACATTACTTCATAAAGTTTATTTAACAAAGCTACCCACTAACTGAGTCGAACCCATCAACATCTCTACCGCGTTCTACATGTACACGGAAAGCGGCTAGTGATACTTGGCATGACGCTCTGTTTGATGGCTCTTGTAATTGATAAGGTATTGACAAGTGGCAAAGAAGAAACCAATGTGAAAGAATGGCACAAGAGTGCTCTTGCGGGGATAGATCCATCTGAGACGGTAACGCCATGAGAAACGAGCGAGTGCCTTTACGTAATCCACTGGGTTGCAACTTCGTGTTTTGAGGTAGGTCCACAGGTCGCCCATCTTTACATCACCGAACTTGATTTCCTTTGGACCATAGTAATAACCGGGAAAATAGGCCCCATGCACACAAACGTTGTATTCCTTCGGAAGTAGGCCGAAGTCCGGCATTGTACCGACGAGCAGGGGCCGAACGAAAGAATCACCGAAACTAACAGACAAATCACACAACAAGCATTATCATCACAAATAGGAAGAAAAAATAAATGTTAATTCTTTTTTTAAACGTTCTAAATTAAAATGGTTTTAGTATATTCGTTTATTGACAAATTAGACACAATGCAATTAAAGACTAGCAAGTTGATATATTTTTCAAGGATTATAAGTGATGAGGAAAAAAGTTTGGTGAATCAGTATTTAATCAGTGCATTACTTCTACAACTAATTTATGTGCATCCAATCAATGACCAAGAATTCATTTAGTTTGGGATTGGAAAGTTTCCGACAAGCTAATTGGAATATCTATGATTGGAGGTGTCGTAGCCTAAGAGTAGTGTTTGCCTCAACCCTATGATTCTATTCATGAAAAAAACCTGTCTCTAAGGCATATGTCCATGTACGTCTGGCTGCACCACTTGTAGCATCTGAAAGTTACTAACACATTTTTACATGTCTATGATTTTTCACTGACTGTCAGAGATGGTACCCCTACTAATTAACCGCATAATATTTTGGCAGCTGAGGCCTCCCAACCACACCTTTCGGCTTCTGACTAGTGTAAAAGCGAAAAACAATCAAAGTTGGCAACTATTTTAATTGGTCTGTTAACTAGAGCACTGAACTTGTACAATATTTAACACTTTTTATTTAAGTGTTGTAGATACTTCCACTTTGTTCTCACCATTGCATAATTGCGGCCGCAGATTTAAGCTTCATAATCAAATGACCAAAACGAAAGCCCTTCACGATTGCTGCTTTTATTGTCGGGAGCTTAACAATGTGACCTTTAGAGCTCTGTAATTTCACCAAGCGTGGCCAAAAGTGTCTCACAAACTATGTATTGTTTTGTCAATCTTGGTTGAAAGGACTAACCCAAGTTACTTACCTCTTCAGAGGTAGCGAGTAGGGAGAGATTGAAGTTTCGAACAAACCTGGCATCACATTTTTGAATTAGGCAATCGGCATTACCCTCCATTTTACCGCTGCTGAAGAGGACTAGATTAACAAATGTTGGGGATTTTGGATGTGTTTTAAGGCTTTATTGCAAGCAAAAATCATGAAAAGTGTACCAAGCAAATACCTGTAAGTCTGCACAGCAGTCATCTATTTGGGTATGCCAACATTCAGGTGGCCTAGGGTACGGGATGCCAATGCCTGTCAGAGAGGCTATACGCACAAAGCCGACGGCAAATCCAGAAAAAGGCTAGCCGTATGTCCCATGGGGTTGATAGTCAACCCAGAAGTTTTACCAAATCAGTAAAATTAGGGATAAAACCTCTCAAAAATGCATTATAACCCAATTTTGCAGGACCTATTTTGTCGGAAGGACTTGGCGAGTGCGATTTGGTGGTCACTGCGTATTTGGAGACAATATGGGTATCGTCCCGAGACTTCCCTAAAGACGAAAGAAGACACAATACTGGGGCAGAACATATATATATATATATTCAACACAGAGAAGGTGTTTGGGCTACTGGAATGGCCCGAAGGCCAGACTACCCAGCGAGGTACAAGAAGACTAATTCAAAGGTTCAAAAGTGGCGCCTCACCAATACCGAGGGATAAACCACCATCGTATTACACAAGCCTCCCCCAAGTCAGTTGGTTGATTCCGCGCCTTTCAAATGAATTTCCTCGAGCCAAATTGAACATTTCCTGCCTTCAAGAGTGATGGTGGACTCTTCAGCTCCAATCAAATGCCTCAAAACAAGGATGTATCAAGCTGCTAGCATTTGATTGAAAATTATTTGAATAAGAGACAGACATGATGACCGAAACGTGACATTTTTCAAGCGTGATGTACTAGGGAGCAAGAAGTTGACAGGGTATCTAAATTGTGAATGCGTGTCCTGTCATTTCTCCAGCGGAGAGAATCTTGTATAGACAGCAAGTTGGAGAGGCCATCTGTGTCATTAACGAAGGAATGGTGACACACCTCGTTGATGAATGAACCAGTAGAATGGACAGAAGGTGGGGCCAACTTGAAGTCAGTACGCTGTGTCCAAGCCGCGTCCGAGGTACTAATACTGTTCTGATACTGTTCACATAGCGCTCAGACTGAAAAGTTGATTTTCAAATTGACGACGATGCGGCAGAGGTACTTCGTCAATGTGTCAGTTAGTCAAGCTGCATCTGTCATCTTTGTTCCTTTTAGACATGTGGCTAAAACTTCGAAAACCAGTTGGATTTTCTCCGTATTTTTGTATGGAAATGAATGGCTTCCCTCTTCACTCACTCCGCTACAAATCCTCGCTCACCACCCTCGGAACGTCAAAACGACCGGAAACGTGGATGTTCACGACTTCAATCTGACCCTCATTCCATTTCCGAGCAAATATAACTCAGATAATGTAATGTAATATGACCTAATAATCCTAGTTTAATTTTTCTAAATAACTGTGAGATACCCTTAATCCCTCCGGGCCAGTAAAATTTACTAATGCATTCCCCCAAACAAAAAATTAATAAATTCCATACGCATTCAATTTTGTTGTTTTTTCTTGGTGCATTAAGCATGTCAAATCAAATAAAATCGAATTTGAATACCCATCACTCGTCTCTCCTCCACTAACCACACCGGCTTGCAAGAGAGTCTCTGACTCTTCTGCGCTCACCCACTTCTGGGAGGTCATTAGAGCGTCACCGTCCAGAAATCAGAAGAACACGGAAGACTCCAAGTTGTGCCTTCGGTTGGGAAGCCTTTGGAACTCCAAAGAAATTTACGAAGGCCTCTTTGATTTATCTCCCTGAGGTACTAACCCAGGGGTGGTCAACCATCTTGTTGTCAAAATTGATGAACTTTTGATAAATCAGTTACCAATCGAAAATAATTAAAGATAAAATACTGCCAGCCAACAGTTTAGGAGGGACATGACAGAGGTACGATGATAGAATGACCTCTAACACAGTTGAACTAGTTGTGATAGGAAGTAGCGGTCGCGGTTGTCAAAACGTACACAATCTCCGGTTTCCGTGGTACATAGGCAAGGATACAAATTTTGCTGAGTAAATTTTTATGAGCTTTAGTGCCTAGGCAACCAGTCTTCCACTTATTAGAAAAGAAAGTGGAAAAAGACATTATTGAGTCATTTTTGTCAATAAATGTGGAACCGGGGCAGAATAAATCAAAGTGTCAAATTTGACAACCGCATACGTGGGGTGCTTATTCCGTCTCAGAGCCACCGTACCACCGTTAATGCATTGAGATTTGGCGGTTTAGTTTTTTATTCTTTAAAAAATAACTGGAAAATAACCTCACTCACCTCAAATCCGCAAAAAAATCGATAAAATCAACACCCAGGCAAAAATCGATAGCGTTGGCACCCTGTGAACATTATTGATTTTTCGCAACACCAATGCGAATCCCAATTTATCTGCAGCCTGATTTTTTTCTCTCTTACCAAGGTAATGGTTTAAAGGAAAAAAAATTCTGAATGATGGCACGATGGCAAACAAGAAGTACAACCCCTCGTCCACGCACCCCCGAATCGGATCAACAGGAATGTCAACAACGTCTACAGACTCCCTGATTTTCAATTCTTCGTTTTGAAATAATTTAAAATAGTGATGAAAATCAAGCACTTACATATCGATAATTTTCTCCAGAAAATATGAGCAATTATTCAGTCTTTTTATATGGGAAAGTATTTCGTTTAAATGCACTAGGGTGGCACGCCTGACACCCCCTCATGCCGAGAACTGACAACCCCATCACTGTGGTGTAATGGGGTGTGACGCCTCTGACTTTCTTCGTCAAAAGGAGTTGTCAAGGTGTCTAGGTTACTTCAAGTTTGCGAAAAAAACAATAATGCGTAAACCAACCAAAAAATCACATATCTTTCACAAACTGTCAGTTCTATAAATTTTCTGGGTGCTTATTTATTGTTTATATGGGACTCTGCAGCACCTTGATGGCAATTTCAAGGTGTAAATCGAGTGAGATTTATTAAATTTGCCCCTTCTCCCCATCTACCAAAGTTGACATCAAAGCAGTGTTACTGTTAGTGATATAAACAAAAAACAGCAAAATGAAACAATTTTTTGATCTTTCGGTAACGTCGCCCATCTCCCTCAAAGTCGTGACAAGCCTAAGCTTTGGCAGGAGAACATACTACTTATTAACGCAAAGCCTACTAACATGACGTGACGGGCAGAGCGAAAGTATAACCTGAAAAGATTAAAGTCCTCGGTGTAGTCAAACCTCGGAGGGCGTTTTGGCTCTAGGAGGGGAATCCTCCCAAACCGAGGGCCTGTCACCTCACTTCAGCATGTCTAGACGTCTGGATATGAGAGTTAACATATCATCACGTGATTGGCTGAACTACAAAGAGAGTGTGGGTGTGGCTAGGGGTGAGTCAGTGGCCCTCTCACTCCTCCCACCTTCCAGCCCAAATGTGCGAATCACTCCGCCGCTAGGTTGCAACAGGACAATGGCAAAGCAATGTACATCCAGAATGTGCAAGGGAAGCGGTGACGGTGACACCAACGCATCCACGACGCCCTCAAAAGGGTAACCGGTACAAGGGGTTACACAAAAAACCACGCAAACCTCCGAACAAATCGAGGTGATAATGCACCTACCCGCGTTTCTAACACCGACATGGCTGCCAAGGTGATGTGATTTGACAAGCCGGGCGAGGTGGGGGGGGGGGGGAGGGAGGGAGGTTAAACATGTTCAAATTAACTTTTTTCACCACGGCTAATTTACATCGTCCTGGCTTCAATGCAAGTTCACAGATCGCCGATCCAGTGGTAGCTCGGGAAGCCTGGAGCTGGGGGCACAGCGTTCGACTTCGTGAGAGAGAGAGAGAGCGAGGGATGGAAGAACCCTACCCTACCTTCTCGCCTCGCCCTGTACCACACCGACGGCTCGCTCGACAAACTTAGAGTACAGTAGAAACAAAGAGGCGTGTGTGTGTATGCGTGTCAGGCTGGTGTGAGAGGATGTGGTTAAGCCATTGAAACGCCCCCACCCATCGCCCCAGACCGTCACCGCACTGACTAATGGTCTAGTTGCTTGACGATGACCAGTGGGTCATCTTTCTTGTGATGTGGTGCTGACACAAAAGAGCATTCAAGCGAAACGGGAACATGCCCGAGTCCCTTCGGATAGCAAAGTAGCTCTGGAGGAGAAAGATCGGCTAGCAGTCCATTCCACTTTCTTATCAGCAATGAATTTACGGATGCTATTGGACTAGCTTCCTGGAAGGCCTTCTACGTCTTCGTGACAGGTTATATGCGCGCAGATCGGGTAACCATAACTCGGTGGTCTTTGAAGCGTCTACAGCGCCACTGTTGTCCGCCGACCTTGATGTTGGGAGCCGGTGGGCATCAACAACAGTGGCACTCACATGTCAGGACTCGTTTATGCGGCATTAACAGCACGCAAACTTGTTGAAACAGGCACTTTCCGTTGAGCTCCCAAATTGTCAAATAGGGGTGGAACTAGACCGATGGGTGCGAGTCGGGTAGGTCGACTCTAACGCGTCTCAGCCAGCTGCTCATAATCCAAGGCGAACGTGACAAAGCTGACACGTTGACTCTCATGTTGATCACGAGTTTGCAAGAAAGCAATCAGTCCCACCTAAGTTGTTTGAGAAGGGGAAGTCACGATGGGAAGGGGGGAAAGATGAGCACCAAGTCCTGCGTACCAACAAATGGCGAGTTGGTTGTCACTTGCCACGCACGCTTGATGGTCACGTGGCAGTTTGGACCTCCTTCCTGACCTCGCTTCGGTCACACCCAAATCAATGCGCTCGCTACTCGCACTCTTGAGGGCACTACTTCGACTCCAGAAAAGGCGACTCCGGCGTTGTGGGTGTGTGGTGCCTGGATGACAACGTTTCACTGTCAACAATGCTAGCACCAGCCAGTCACATGACTAATCTCGAGGGCCTAGGAGAGATAAAAGCGAGCCGCAGACGACTCAAATCAGCTATGTTTGGTCTCTTCCAACGGCAGAACTTCGGGTAGATGTGGAGGCCGCAGCAACATTGGCATCCAACTTTTTTTCGCTCTGTGTGTGATCAAAGGCAAAAGCGAGAATATGCAGGCGGCCGTCTGTCTGACTCATTCCAAGTGAGCGGAACAATGCGGGACCAACAGCAGCTAAATGATCGGATGGAATGCAAATTTATGAGGGTGTGATAAAGCCAGTAGCGCCTAGTTAGCGATTTACGCCATCCCAACTGTACTTCCATGGGTGCACCAGCGGAAAAAGAAGCCCGCATTCTAGGTCACCCTCCAGATTATTGATTTTAGGGGGTTGGAAGCAGGTCCGCCCACCTCTGCCTGAAAAAATGTGACAAACTTGGTCACCCTTAAATTTGTTGATCTTTGGAGGTCTGTTGCCGAAGTGAACCATCACTTCTGCATGAAGGGATTTAACCACAACTCCAACTCTCCCGCAAAAATCTCATCTTCAAATCTATTGATTTTACTCTTGGGGTCACCATTTGACTTCGCTGTTACAGTTGCCATCAAATCTGTTAGTTCTTGGACTTGGCGCACCAGCACATCACCCTTATCATCTCTACGTCACAACTGACGACAAGTTCCACGATATCGTCAACCATCAAATGTCTTAGGTTGGGGGACGCAGAACCACCTGGAAATCCATCCACAATATTCAGGACTTTTAAAATCGTCAGAAAAAAAACGATAACAGCAAACAATACTACTAGATTTCTCATCATCACGAAATACCTGCTACTTCGACAAGGTGGGGCCGGGGAGGAGGGAAGGGGGGGTTCAAGGAGAAAAGGAGGCAGGGGACCACACTCGTAAAAAGAAAGACCAACTGGATCGGTAAAAGACGAGGAAATGGACGGAAGGGAGGGAGAAAAACAGAAGCATCTCCACTCTAAGAGGATATAAAAAAGAACGCAAACACACACACACACGCACACGGACTAAGCCATCCAGATATTCACCTAGGTGTGAAAATGGATAGCCTCGCTACGGCTTCTGCTTCGTCCACTACTACTTTGTCTTCTTCTCACAATTTGGCAACTGGAAAAAGAGGGAGTTTCTGTATCTACAAGGTGGGTGGCTAATATGTGATGGGGATTTCCCAAGGAGACAGCACCAACAACGACGAAGACGAGGGAGACTGAGAGAGGTAGGTGCGTGGGTGAGTCTATGCCGCAGCGTGGGCAAAATTTGTCCACGCGTTGAGCATAAAGTTTACCAGTCTTGGATGCTGCCTAGACAACCTCTCCGGGACTGGAGGTTTCAACAAAACTTTGGTTTGGTGTAGTGGATACTTAGACTTTCTGGACGGTGGAGGAGCAGGAGGAGGAGGAGGTAGATGCTGCGGACGATTAAATCGATGGCTAGCAGCGTTGGTGGCTTTTGCTGCAGACCGCGCTTGACGGTTCCTCTTCTTCGTGGTGACCATGATAAATCCACCGTCGTCACCATCATCCTCGTTCCCATCTTCGACAGCCTTATTGTTAGCATTGCTGTTATCACTCACATTGATTGCTGGAATCGCTTTCACCGTCACTGCCGTCTTTTTCTCTTCTTCCTCTTCCACCTTTGACGAAGGCGTTGAAGAACAAACTTTTGATGGAAGCTCCTTCTCAGAGGAGGTGGAGGCGGACGACTTTGAAGGCTTCGCCGGTGAAGGAGATTGTGGACTGGAGAGAGAGCTGTTGCTGGTTTGATTACGGCGATGCTTCGGTTTGGTTGAGCGGCGTGAAGAGACGGTCATTTGGGAGAGATCCTAAAACCCAAAATGTTGAGCAATAAGTGACCTCACTCATCAAGAAACAAGCCAACATCAGTGAGGAGGGATGAATGATATAGAGACACGTAGGTGAATCGATGGACCTACAGACTTGGAATAAACAACGTGGAGGAAGCAATGGATGGATGAACGGACCCGAAGCGCATAGATAGACCTTCTTGTTAGTCTCGTACGTCATAGATGCGTGACGTGTGTTATTTGCCAGTCTTGTGATAACTGCTGCCCGCAGCAAATCGCGACGACCCCTAAAGAACCCGATTCTTCAAGAGTACTTTCTCCCTCCCCATCGTTGAAGCAGTCACCATCGCAATCGGTAGCTTCCCTTTCCGATGAGACACCTGCGAATTCCATTCTCCCAAAGTATTTTGCCACCAAAAGCAAACATCCAAAATCCACCCCCGGGCCTCCGTCCTTTCCGCCTCATTTTCGTATTCCACCCGTGGACCGATAATTGCCCAACGCAAATTCCAGGGAGGAACAGTGGTGATTGCTCAGAGTACAGAGAAATGTCAACAGAGGGGAATGGGGAGGCGGATGGAGGATTACTCCCACCACATCACTAGCTCTTCCTAATCAAGTGATAGTCTAATGCAAATGCGCGGACAAGGTGGTAATCATCACTTGGACCTTAGCGAAGTAGTCATCAGAGGAATGCCAAGAGCGAGTAAGTCAGCATTTCCATTGGTACCAGCCCAAAATGCAAATACTTGTGATAGTATGCAGTCATGGCGTCACATTCCAAGCACAGCACTCCTGTCTGACTGAACGATCAGTCCTAGTGGCTGCCTACGAAGAAAGTTTGTCGTTCACAACCTTTGAAGGTCTACTACACACACACACCCACGTAAACACAGAGGCAGAGACAAGTTGCAGAAGTGGGGCGTGCCTAAGAAGGGTGGTTGATAAATAAAGGTTCACAAGCTAATCAGAAAGTAGTCAGAAGGCGGGGCGCTCTCCTCAAATGCAAGAAAGAAGTGAAAAAGAAACAACTAGCCAATCTTTTTACCTTCGTGTCATCTGCTGGCGCACAACATTTGGCGCTCACATCCTTCCTTCCTATCACAACTTCGCCTTCTCGAATGATTTAAGCGGGGACAAATTGTCGGACTTGACACGTTCACTTCGGGTCAAAAATGTCGTGCCCTCCCTCTTAAGCGATTCCAAAGGCCACATCGTCCCAAACTATTCCATTGCCTCTCCTCCCTCTTCCAATCGTGATACAATGGATCCCTCGGCGAAACCCTTGGGACCAAGTTAAAGTTGGTTCACAAAGCAGACCGCCTCAAATCACACCCCTCAGCGTTGTTCAAGCAATAATTTGTAGCCTGAGAGCCCACCACAGGGTACACGTCTCAACAAGTCACAAGTACAACGAGGCACGTAGAGATATACTGGCTTTATGGGTTAACCCGATGATGCCTAGGTGTTACCTCCTGAGTCAGTGGACCCTAGGAGTGAGAAACAGAAGCCCAGTAGAAATCGTAGATTTAATGAGGAGCATAGACAATATAAGAGAGAATCCCAACAAAGGAGGCTATTTATAGCAACACAGTACCAACTTGAACGGGGCAGCTGCCCCCGATGGGAAGGAGGAAAAGCATGGGCAGTTGGAATGCACCTTTCCTATTAATAATCCCTACAAAATAACACCGATTTCTAGGCTTGAAGAGTGCCTCCAACTCCAAAAAATGAAGGAATGCTGAAATTAACGAACCTACGACCAGCCAGAAGATAAGAAAAGGGGAGGATTAACTCCCATAAGACGGCACAAAATATCTCGGAGGACAGAGACAATGGGAGGCGCACTATATCCCCAATTACTTAACAAACGGATGATAATAATGTAGCTCCTAACCGACAGCCAAATAAAGTGGACCTCTAAAAGCTCATAAACAAAACAGCTTGGACATAAAAAGGGCGTAAATTCATAGAAAGTAGACCGTGGAAGTGATTATCAGTAGATGAGTCGGTTTTCGAATTGTAGAAGAAACGAGAAAGGGAAGAAAAATCTTAAATAGATATGGAAATAATAAACAAAGGCTGACTCGTGCTCTTGGCCTGATCGACACAAAAATAACAACAGCAACGATAACAAGGGGTACACCGAGGAGGGGGACGCTTAAACTCCAGTCCAATACCCAATCACAGAGCCGACAATAAGTAGGGGATAGGAGGAGACACAACACACTACCCTGCATTACTCACTCATTTAAACTGAAAACGCGAAAGAATGAGCACTAACCACCCAGAAGGCGAGAAGGACACAACCAATAAGGCGCAAACATCTGTTCCTACCACCCTTCAAGCATGCCCTTCCGGTTAAACAGGTGACCAAAATAACGTCCGCACGATTCCCGCTTTAGGTTACAGCTACGACTTGTTGGTGGTGGTGCTGTAGCTTGTACGCACCTGCAGACCGGGGTTACGTGTGTGCATTATCACTCCACCGGTACGCAACGCTACTATTTACGTCTGATTTGAAAATCGCGTCGAATTTCATCTTTCTGGTTTATAAACTTATCTTAGCTCAGCTCCAGGGATGATGTAGGCACGTTAACTAAACAAATGCATCATTCGTTAGCCCACATTTCTAAGCCAGGCGGCCACGCCTGATGGGTGTTGCTGTGAGTGGCGAGGGAAGGAGATCCACGTACTCGATGGTAGACAATAAGGGAACACCGCTTCGTGAGAAACAGGTGGTAGTAGTCAACCGATGAGTCAGAATGGCGTCCTATTCTCCCAAGACCTCATACCATCCTACAGCTAACTGAAGGAAGATTAACACTTTAGGAGGGGATAGGGGGAAAATAATGGTCCATTCTCATCCCCATTTCTCTCTGTTGCCGCTTCTCTGTGATCAAAGTAATTACCGCCCCGCCTTTGGATTTGAATTGGACATTACCGGCTCACAGTTGGGAAACGAAAGGGTGATAAAAAGGGAGGTGGCTAAGGTGAGATTGGGGGTGCGACGATGGGATTGTTTTCTGGCATTAGATCCATCTACTTAAAGACGCCTTGTAACTCATGCGTTACTCAAAACTCGATCAGGAGAGGAGAAACTGCGCGCCCTTTATTTGGGTAATAATGACTAATGAAAGAGCGAGACTAGAAGATGACCATTTCCTTGAGCTGAGAAAAGAACGACTTTATTGTCGAAGACTTTTGGGTTAATATCTTGTCTTCAATTTCAACAAAGACCGACAGTGACTCAATAAATAGACTTCAAAAGGAATAAACCATCCTCATTGTGTAAGGTCCTTGAAAAGAGAGCAAAAAAGCGAGCTCCAATTAGGGCATACCGTAAATATCCAGTTGGTGAAAAGAATCACAATCCTCACTGATTAATAGAAAAAAAAAGTCAGAAAATTTACTGGGTGACTTGCTGTGAACTAGGTAAAACGACCAAGAGGTGACACAATGACCACAAATCAAAATTACAAAAATGAAGATTCTGTGGGGGGAGAGAATAGCTAATTTGCCAGATGCCAAAAAAATTAGGCGTTTGGTCAGTGTGCGGTGTTCAGATATTTGGAAGACATGACCACGCAAGGGTGGGTAGAAGAATCGTTTGGAAAGTAATTACCCATCAGATGGCTAATTGGTCACAAAGAAGGTGGGAATTTGGGAGACACCCCAATATAAAATAAATTAAAAAGATCTGTGATGTTCAGCTCAAAGGCGACCACGACGAGGAAAAACGTTCCCATCGTTTATCCCGTCACCGAGCTCTAAGCCAATGGAAATGGAGCAAATAAATCGCAGATACTTTAACCCACAAAAACGCGAAACAAAACTTGAAGACGCAGTGAAAAAGTGTACCGAATGCCACAGTAACCGAGCCCCCAAAAGCTGCACATTAGTAGCTCATTCGAAGAAAGTTATTTGAATAGGCCCAAGAAAGACCAACGACTTGTTACTCGCAGAAAAGGCCAACCAAAATATGCTACAACCACCATTTGTAAGGTGAGAGAAGGAATTTATGAGGTCGCCACCAAAGCACTTACCTTCTGCAACCCATAAAATGCCCTCATTTACATGAATTATAGAGTAGAGCTATGCATCAATCCACCGGTAAAGCGCTCCACCACTGCAATTGTTCCCGTCCTCCTCCGATTTCGGCTCTCTATCTCATGGACTGGACCGATGGAGTTGATTCAAGCTTAACTAGGAGAAAGCCCAGTATGTGGTGGCAGAACACCACACCGTCCATAATTTGTTAGATAAATGTACATAATTGCGGTGGTGAATCACCCGCATGAATCATAAGGAATTGTGGCGCGAACTGAAAAAGCAGAACGAAATCAAGGTGGACATGACAGAAAAAGATTCAGGCATAATTGGTACGAGTGGCGATAAAACATGATGAAGACAAAAGCAGGGTGACACTTAGGGAAATGAGTGCTTGCTTTGTACATTTGTACGTGATAGAATGCAGACGCTAAAGGTCAAGCAATCGCTGCTGAACTTACGCCCCGAAAGATGGTCAGAATAGGGAACAGACAGGACTAGTTAACCCATAAAACGAAAGGCCCATCCTTACAGGACGACGTCATACCTTATACTCATGACGTTTAGTACTTTAAAATGGAGCATAAGGGAGATACCGCTTCATCCTCACTCTCGCCCTATGCAGTTCTCTGGTGGCACGAGTCCAAGCGATAACCATCACCCTTTCTTGGCATCTGCGTTAGACAATCACATGATTACATGGGGGCTAGAATAGACAGGCGAAAAAGAAAGGAGAGTTTGAAATGGAAGGGGCTAGAGGTAGGTTGACTGCTTCTGGAGGCACAAAGGCTTACCAAAGAGGAATTTGCAATTACCTTGTGAGTATTTAGCATAGTCGTTAATCTTTCAATCCCACCAAAACCTCACAAAACTACTTACTTATCACACACATTGTCCGATCCAACCACCCTGCATTAAAAATTTCACAAAATATCAAACAATTAAGCAAGTTTTTGAAACTCCTATGGTTCGGCTTCCATCACGGTGTTGTGTAGGTTAATAACCTATTCTTAAATGGATACAGCTTATTGCGTCTTCATCGGTAGCAGTAATGGGCGAACCCGACATGAATAAAGTAGGATCCGGATAATGATTCGTTGGATATCAAATCTAAGTGTTAGGAGAGGAGGATATTTGCTGTGGGTGACTCAGAACAAAAAGGCCATCAAAACGGCGTAGTCTGGGGATCAACCCATCAAAGTATCCAGCAGTATGACTATTAGTGAATGAAGTGGCATCAAACGGAAATAATTTAAAAACGTTACTAATGGAGGGACCCATACTATCTAGGCAAAGACATTGAAATTCTAACGAAATGTACTTCCATGCTCAGGAAGCCAAGAGTAGATCAGCGACAGGATTGAAGTGGACAAAAAGTAGCAAGGAGAAACTAGTACTGAATATCGGCTTTGTGGAGTCATCCTAAGTTTTTCAATGTAAGACTTCCCTTCGGGGCCAAGCTTCCAACAAGGCGCAATTACTATAAGGATTGCACTGACGGCACCTAATCAATGAGTCTTCTCGCTAAGGTTTCCTTATCAAAAGTCGACTTGTTAACCAAATCGCAATCAGCTATCGTTAAAATTGAAAATCTTCCCACTGTAATATGGAATCATCAAGAGATGGACACCAGTCGATTTCACTTCGCTGTGATTGATGCAAAAAAATACGATAGGCGGTGAGAGCAACGCTCAAAATAATGCGCAGTCAGTAGATGCCCGCGCCGCAGTTAGCGAGTGAATCGGAGTACCCATTTCTGCCACAGAAATATTATTTGAACTCACAAGATTCAGGTCCAACGGGAAGCTGATCGTTGCGGCATCAAAAACCGAATCTATGATAGCGTCAGTGGCAGCGACCGGCGAAGCGCCATTGCTAGAGGCAGAAGACGACTTCGAAGACTTTGAGACGGGAAGGAGGGGATCCACATCAGCAGAGAGCGCAGGCATATAGAAAAGTGGTTTGCCGTTCAGATCGCCCAACAAACTGGCGGAGGAGAGAGAGGCCTGACGGAGGAAGCCGGTGGAAGGGGAGTTTGAATCCATCAACAACAAATCTTCGGTGGTGGTGGTAGCAGCACTACCGTTGGTGGTGCTGACGAAAGAATGACAATATTGAAAGTGGTCGGTGATGCCGTTAAGAGGCGAACGACCCTTGCTGCGATAGTACTCAGGTTTTAGGTTGTCTGTGAGCATTTTTCGAATCTAGGTAGTAACCAAAAAACAAGTAGTTTGACTCATCACAACGGCAGCTTGGCAACAGATGCAATGTCATAAAAACCAAACTGAGTTTTTCCTACCAAAGTCACTAGTTGGGAAGACAATGTCGACAATCTCGCTACCAATAAATCTAAATACGCACGATGATTCTATAATCGAAAAATACCCGAACATCAATCAGGCTACGCTGGTAAGGGCAGTGAATCCTTGTAGAAACTATTATTATACAGAGTAAACTACCATAGGATTTGAAAACAACAAGTCTTCTTGCCAAACCATAAATCAGAAATTAGCAAGCAAAAAAGTCGGAAGGAAACTTGCTAACAAGAGAGATAAACAAAAGGAATAAAACAAAGTGATGGGTGACTCGCTGCGGTAGTAGGTCGTGTTTGCAGTGCCATAAACGAACGCACTACTGAGAAAAAGAAATAGGTTGCCCAAATAAAAAAGGGCAAAAATTGAGCACGCGCGAATCATTAATAATCATTAAAAGGCACCCGGATATTTGGCAACGGAACCAAAGTTAACAAGCACAAACTTGAAGAACATGAGTCAGAATGTCAAACTACCATTACTTAGCCTGATTCAAAAAGATTTACTTATGATACAGACTGTTTAGAAACTACTTATCCCCGACGTCAGCCCTATTGGAGCGATATCACTCACAAAGGCTAAAAAAACTAAAATTGAATGCATAATCTTAGAAACTTCCTGAACGATCTGGCTGATAGAGGATTATCGACATATGTCAAACAGGCAGTGCTCATCGGAACGTATTAAAAAAACATAGATCACTCCAGAACATAAACCAGCAAGAAATAGCACGGCTACGGATTGAGGCCGCATACATATTTCCGCTAATACCAACTGCAGACGTTGACCTTCAGAAGTGGCATGTTCGCGAAGATTGTTAACAAACATGTCAAGATTTACAACAGAATCTGTACGTTTTCTTTCCACAGCAACTTTTGTTTAGGAGGTCTGTTACAAAACTGTATCCAAGAATTTCAAAACCTTTACAAGTTTAAAGTAGAAAGTAAAAAATATTGAGATAAAAATACATACAATTAATTTAATTACAGTGACAAAACCTGGCTTATTTTACATCTGTTTTAAGCTTCTCAGAGCTTGCATCTGGCGGACAGGATTACCTAAGTAGCTTTTCCTAACCTAGGCAATATTATTGGATGTCTAATCAATTAAAAATAGTTCAAAATTCAACCTGGTTTAGTACTTTTGTTATTTTTAGTGTTTTCTATGAATGCATAGGCTGTTGTAAGGCGCCACGAAAAGGGGGGCATTGCTGTGTGTGCTGCGCTTGCCTAGTAGAAACAAACGGCTTATTACTTTAAATGACGTTTTTTTTTAGACTTTTTAAAAGTTTAAAAATTTCTATTGTTTGCTTTGCATCTTGACTCCTAAGCACAGTGTTTTGACTCGGTGCATATTTAAATTTACAGGTATCTTATCACGTGGCCCATACTCTGTCCGCATTAGTGGATGCGATCTAGTCGGTTCTATTTCGGATTGATAGAAGTCTGTTTGCAACTGCATTTTAGTGATCCAACAGATTGCGCACCCACTGCAACGTTTTCCGATGTCACAAACAAAACTTGGGACGCACAATGGTGTTTTTCACTGCGACGAGGTTTTGGCTCTCGCTATGCTTCGCCAATTACCAGAGTACCGCAATGCCGTACTAGTTCGGTCCCGCGATCCCGCTCGCCTTCAGGACTGTGATGTCGTTTTCGATGTCGGGGGCGAGTTTGATCCGGATAGGCACCGTTATGATCATCACCAAACGTGCGTTTGACTTTTTATTCTGATGTCGCCCTCATTTCCTAGGTCTTTCAGTAAAACTATCCAAGACTTTCACCCTACTCTTAAACCGGCCGTGAAACTAAGTAGTGCCGGCTTGATCTACGCGCACTTCGGCAAACGCGTAATCGCATCCGTTTTGGGAGAGGAGTCGTCCGATTCTAATGTTGTCAAAGCAGTCTTTCCTTTCCTTTATGCAATCTTTATCAGTGAGATTGATGGTGTTGATAATGGCGTCCCCACCGCTCCTGTACCGCTTACGTAAATTCCAAAATTCATTTGCTTTGATTATATTTGACTGTATTTAAGTGCAGGTTGCATCTTGAGGTTTGGGGATCTTTTTGAAATTTTAGGTATTCTATCCACACCGATTTATCTTCTCGTGTCGATCGGTTGAATCCCTCTTGGAATAAATCTGATGAGGATGAAACGGTATTTCATATACTGTTTTCATGAGACTTTAATCACACCTTTTCCGGCTGATCTGAGAGGCCAAGTCTCCAGAACTTTTAATAGCAGTTGGTGGGTAGACTGGATTGCAGTCATCTTCTAGACTTTTCTATAGCCACTTCCACGGCAGTGAATTACTTGAGCTGTATTGGATGGCCTAATGAGTTGCGATTAAATTTGCATTGTTTCTACAGTATGTCGGTGAATTAGGTAACTGGAGATTTTTAATCCCGCGTCAATTTCTGAATCCTCCAGTCGGTATTGGTTAATTTGTTCATTTATTCATCCAATTGTGCGATTTCCCCCTCGTCATGCATTCATTCCGGATTTACTCCTCTATCAATACATCCCAAATCCTTCCCCCAGTTATGGGTCCCCCTACCTATTAGCTTCCCTTACTTACATATTTCAAGTCTGTTTTCGCAACCCTTCATCTGCTGTTCAATCCAACTTCTCCACATTCATATGCATGAGCTGATTACCACTTTTTTTCCAGTGTTACCGAATGCTTCTATTTTTTCCCCATTTTCACGGGGGCATCATCTTGCTTGGGTCTTCTCCCTACAGCTGGCGCGACAAACTCCTGTATGAATCTCCTGTCCTTCTTTAGGAGTGCTTTAATCGGGCTTACAAGCTAGTCGAGTCCGAGTTGTTATCCACTGTTCGTGACCTCGCGGAGACCTGGTATCCTGCACGAAGCATTGTTGAGGCCGCTCTGCTCTCACGTCACTCCATCCACCCCAGTGGGGCCATCCTTCACCTCGCACTGGCCTGCCCTTGGAAATCACATATTTTTGAGCTAGAAAAAAAAATCCTTGGAATTACTGACGCTGACAATGACGAGAATACTGACTTCAAGGGTCGACCGGTGTTTGTCATCGTGGAACGGAAGGGCAGTTGTGAAACGCAATTCACTCTGATCTCCATTCCCTGCAAACCGAATCTGCCATTCTCAAATCGGTGAGTGGGAATGGTCACTGGATTTCCATCAATTTTGAAGTAGAATGAGCACGGTAAGAATCTACCGCTCCTATGCTAGTTTCGTGTACTTAGATTGACCTGGTAAATCCAAGTTCGTTCCGAATCCATCCATCCACACAGTTTATTCACGCATTGCCTTAGTAGACTCATCGAGAGTAAACAATCCCACATCATTCCGATATGCCCTTATGCTGCAAACATTGCTTGCAATGACCTTCTTTTCATACTGATTGCAACGATGTTTTAGAGTGCCGTTGGTGGCCGCGTGGGGCGGAAAAAGGGACGAGGAGTTGTCTGGATTAGTTGGTCTGCCCGGTTGCGTGTTTGTGCACTCCAATCTCTTCCTCGGAATTCACAGGACATTCGACGGTGCCCTTCAAATGGGCATAATGTCTCTCAAAGCTGCAAATTATTTGTAGACTAATTTTTTCATGTAACTGGATGCACTATTTGTGGGCTGCCTATCTTTGTGTGTCGGGCTCTGGAGGTCGCATGTCGGGTTCTCTTGGGGGGTTCTGGGTTTTACTTCGGCGCGACGGGCTAGGTGATCCCTGATGACTTAAAGTTACCTGAGAACGGAGGGGGCGCAAGTTCCCTCGCTAGCTGTTGCTTTTTGGGATTGGTGAGTGTCAATTACAATATGCTTGTGCGATTTTGTTTTACTGGACACTGCGCGGTAACACATTGGGGTCCATCCGTGTTGGCGAGGTCTGTCAGGCATGTTTCAGTTGTGTCGTCTTACTGCATTTAACTGATCAAAATCTTTGCAAAAGTTCACTTTTTAAATTCGAATCGAAGCACTTAAAGCTTAGTCACTTGTTCACTTCGTATTCCTCCTACTAGTTTTTGGGGTTGCGCGTTTTTGGTAGTTTAGAGGTAGAACTCGCAAAAATTTTGACTTTGTACAAGGGAGCAGAGTTTTATGCGAACTTTTTGTGCCTCAACTTTTTACTTGGGTGAGGTTAATAAACATAATGTTTCAAAAGATCATGTACTTACGACAAGAATTATCAAATTCGGTAATCAACAAGATCCGCTGGCTGTTCACGAGCGGTTATGAAAAGTACCACGCTTTGGCTTTTATATGGATGCAAGCCAATAGTACAATCTCTTGAGGCTTGGCTTTCTTAATTTGATAACATCGACGAATTTGCGTTTCCTGATGATTTGCTTGTTTTGGGCACCGTCTTTGTACACCGATGTGTTTGGGATTCATTAATTTTCCAGATTAATTCGGTACTTTTTAGGAACTGATAATATTTCCGCCCTTTCGCAATTAAGTAGGCAAGTTTGCTGAATTTCCACACTTCCAACTATCACAACCTATTTCTTCTCCAATTTTTTTAAACCCTTTTTAATGGATCAATCATTGGATGGACGTAATATTCTCAAAGACGTGAAAATTTTGGAAGCCGATATAGCCGATTTCTCTGCACGTCAGAAACTACTTAAAGGCAAGTCTTCTTTTACTCAAGCGAAACTTGTCGTTATTTGCTCCTTTAGAGGAACTCTACGAGCTTTTCGTTGATTTTTTGCCCAACACACCGTCTGAAGACGAACAGGAGGAAGTCACTAAGGAATCGTGAAAAGTTGTTTACGAATTTATGGCCAATAGCATTGCTTGGTAAATAAAGAGTTGCAGTTTTGATAGCTACTTACCGTCTTTGTTCATGCTTGATAAGGTGTAATTGATCAAAAGATCCTCCCTTGATTGTGGAATGTCCGCTTGTCATTCGGCAATTCTTAATCTTTCAGCCGACTAGTTAGTCTACCTTTGCCGTGATGGGGTAACTTTGCAGAGGAAGCTGGTTGTACAGGACTATGGATTGTTTGAGGAGGCAAGGGAGAACGAAAGTCGGTCTCTTTATGCCTTAGGGACTTTTCCTAGAACAAAGAATATGGTAGCTGTATCAAGGATTTTTTGTGCTCGTTCCTCGATGATCGAATCGAGGGGCGTGTGAAAGCCGGCACACGTGATGCCGTGTGGGCATTGGCGATGGTGAAGTTGGCATGAATGATGGGGAACTTTTTGGTCAGTTGCCTGGTGTGTATGTTTGACAAGTTTGAGTTTGCACTGTTTAGGCTCACGTGGCATAATACTGCCCTAGGCGCCAATGCTGGTCATATCCACCGATGACAACTGCTGCCATTACTGACAAGGTTGTCACTGCAGCAGCTAATAAGTGAGGAGTGATATTAAAGAAAAGGACATTTCGTGGCTCTATTTTAAAGCCATAATCGGCAGCAGTGGGCGCTGTATCGGGTAAGTAGATGAAAAGCGCCCTAGGAAAGTAATCTGAAGTGCGCAAGCCTGCATGAGTTGCAGGGTGGGGAGCGGGAAGAAGAGGTGAAGAAGATATGTTCAACATAACAAAACCTACATAAGCTTATCAGCTTTGAGTCAACCGTCTCAATAAAAAGGATACCTCTTCTGTACATACTTCCGTCCTCCCATCCATTTACACCATATCAACTATTCCAAGTGCATACATT